AAAATTTATGCTCGAAAGTTTTCCCAAATTCAAGTTTGTAAGATAAAGTTAAAAAATAATCAACCAATAGACAAAGACTCATCCTCAAGTAAAAAAGTTGTTTGAATAAAAATTAATTTTCAATTTCAATAATATGATGTTTATTAATTGTAAAAAGAATAATTAAAAATAATATCACTAAAATTAAATTAAATTAATGAATGCAATGAAAATATTTTTGTGAATTAATTATTATGATACACTGAACAGAAACAATTCAGTAAATAATTTATCACATTTTATGCAACTTGGATATTGATTCCAATATTTCATTTTCTCTCTCTTTCTCTCTTCCTATAACAATATCACAATAATTTTGAAGCACTCGAATAAAATTTATTCTCAATTCAATACCAATAAAACTATCTAATAAACATATTAAAAAAAACTTTTAATAATTAATTGACGTTATTTTTTAATTAATAGAAAAAGCAATTTTTACATAATAAAATGATCCAAAACATAACGAAACAGTGTAGGTATTTTATTCTCATCGATTGGTAAAGTCTGAGGAGAATGTGAGAAAGATAAGGATAAAATAGGACTGAAGATGAGTACTATATGTTGGAGAGAGGGTAGATAGGAATGAAATCCAATGGTTTTTCTCCAAGTTTACTGTATATACATAAATCGATGCACTCTGTTTTCTCTCTTCCTTTTTTATCTTTTTCCTTTTCACCACCACCAACCCTTTCTCCTCCTCTTGTTTCTCTTGTCTACGCTTTTTCGTCTCTTGCTTGCTCTGCTCTTTTTGTCTTTTTCTTTCTGACGAAACAACCTTTGCAGTGTTACCAGTAACCTTTCACTGTACATGTCTTGAGTTGGAAACAGCATTTAGTATCTCACTTGGGAGCTTTACCTGACTTTCCATTGGCTAAGTTGTCTCTGTTTCTCATCGTTGAATTACAATGATGTAGTGAGAATGGATTAGACGATGCAACGGTGGTGTAAAAACATTCATGTCATTAATAATAAAGTAAAATAACAATGTTACCATTCAAGTGGTTAAAATAATTAATGTTTAATTAAATTACTTTATAAAAGAAGATGAATGAATTTTATTAAATTTTTTTATCGTTCAATTAAACGAGAAATTAATAAAACTGCGGTATAAATAAGCATTTAGTTTCATTTTAAAGTACTCTTTTATTTAATTAATTTTTATTGTGGTTTTCTGTCCTCAATTTTTATAAATATTTTTTCTAAATCAAGTCTTTTAATTAGATTGATTAATGATTAATTAATAAGTGTAGTTTTTAAGCTATTTATTTTTAATTGAGACAAATAAAAGTATCGTAAAATATTTTTATAAAAAAAATTTTTTTTTTTATCCATCATATTATTTATTATAAAAATAATTAATTTATATCATGGATCGAATGATTTTGAAAAAAAAAAAAAACTTTATTCCAAGTATGTTGATTAAAAATCAAAGTTAATTTAGTTATTTATACCAGTTGAAACTGTTATCAAATTATTGAAAATATTTGTACTAAATTCAAATATCAAAATCGGTTAATTGTTTGCGACAAAAGTTTTAACGACAGAGTGTGTTTGAAATCCAATCCACAACATTTCAATTCAAATGAAAATGAAACTTCTACTTGAAGATATTTGACAGCAAAGGGTTTTTAAGAGTTTAAGAGGGAAAATAATATTCAAATAGAATATTCACTACTATACAAATGTAGCATAAAAGTAATAAATCTTCATGATAAGTTTGTGAGAATAATTAACATATGCATGGATACGATAAACATCAATCAACATTGAAGTAAAGATAAATTAATCATACTAGTGTTAACAATAAATTTACTAGACTCATTTTAGACGCTAAAATAGCAAGATCTATCGCCGGGAAAAGTGTCACGATAGGATTGAGAGATGTAAAACGAGAAGGTCATGTACGAATAAATGTATTGCGATTAACGACCCGCAGCTAGACGAAACCATCAGCCCTTTCTATTGGATTTCGATAAACGCCTCTGACGAAAAGTGCAAATAAAGGAAAATTATTTCTTTTATCAATTTCTTATTTTATTCCGTTTGAAATTTTCAACCAATTATTAAAAAAAAAATTGATTCAACTCCAGCTGTTATCTTCAATCATTTATTTATTTAGATATTCAAATGATGAAATATTGGCGAACAACGTGTTAATATCAAATTAAAGTTGACAGTTCATCTAGAAATTTTGAGAAATTCATTTTTTTCTATTCCTAAAGCATAATGTATCGAAAGCCATAGTGATAAAAAAGTATCTAAGATAGCTATTTATCTAAGAAAATCCCGTTCTTGTTTCCAAATTGTGCCAGCAGTCTTTCATGGACTCTTGGGCCATTCCCTAGGGAAGCAAAATCCTAAGAAAATAGTCTTCCTCTCTCAGTGTATCCTCCTTGAGCCCAAGAATATTTTCCAGATTTTTACAACGTTTTTTTTATCCATTAACTAACGTCCTCAAGCAATACTTTGATGTTTAGATAAATAATTCACCAACAAAAAATATATATATGAATATTTTTTATTTATTCAGAAGTAAAAAAAAAACGAATCAAGCCCACACATTAGAACTATGAAATCATAAATGGATAAAAGTCTGATTGTTTTTTTTCAAGTAGTTTGAATGCTTCAAACTAATCCTTGCAGTGAAAATTTGAACCTCCTGTAGTCCAGCAATTAATTCATCCTCTTGAGTTTGACTATACAGAGAGTTCACAACTCCTCATCTCTCTTCAACTATTTGTGCTTTCTCTTGCCATTCCAACCTTCCTAAGTTTTTCTCTATTTCATTTACTGCATCCTCAATTCACTCCTCATCATTCTTCTTTCCTTTTTTTCCGACTTCGCCTCCTACATTTCAATACCTCAAGAGGCCTAACTTTTTCAAACCCCACGTCTTCATATTCGATTAGTTCGATTAGTTGACGCAGGCGCAAGTTAAATATATATTTATCCTAGTGCATTTACATATACTAGAATTTCTGAGCTCTTTAGAAAAAAAAAAATCTTTCTTTCCTTCAGATTATTTGAATAGAGTGAAAAAATTCAAATTAAAATCCCGTCGTGTGACCAAACAACATAGAGGTTTATGCTAAAGTGGATTAACTCTTAAACGAGATTTAATGTATTTTATTGGAAACTACATTTTCGACTACCCTTTTCGTGACTTTTCACGGTAGAATTCTTGATCTACTTAATCGTAGAAATAACAAACGGAAATTTTCAACCGTGTTCATACTAACAATATATATAACTCTTCGGTTGAATGGACCTTTTAAACAAGATCAATATATGTTTTACTATTTTACTCTATATTTTAATTACTAATAATTACAATAAATGATCAAATATAATAGCATAATTTATATCATCATAAAAATAATTTCAAAAGATTGTATTTATTGGAATCATAATAATTAAGAGGTGAATTTAAATCTCTTGAATAACTTCTCTCATCTATATTTTAATATTTTCGATGCAGTCATTACTAATATTTATAATTAAATTATTCGCAAAAGATAAATGGTGAATTATTTATTTAAATAAATTAAATTTTGAATATTACTAAAACAGTGTATGCAGAAAAGTGCATAATTGCTGAATCAAGATTAAAAAAATTTAATTGTTTATTTTTCTAGAAGAAGTAATTTGGATAAAAAGGTCTTGAAAAATAGATCTGATGAAAAAAACGTGGCTGAAAAATGAGAGAAGAAAACACTGGTAATAATTTTTTAAAACGTTAAGACAGATAAGAAAGGATACTAATTTTTTGGTAGAAAAGAAGATAAATAGAAAAGGTCATTCCAATCTGATGGTTGAACTAAAGGCGAAATAGACTGAACCAGATGTTAGCTAAATTTGTACGCGGACTTGTAGTGCTACTGCATTGCTTCTTTATAGCTCTCATACCTTGCGACCGATTCACGGATTTGTACCTCAGTCTAGTGCTTGTATCTTCTCGAACGAATGTCGTCGAGAAAGTGCCATAATCATTCTCTGTCTCAGCTACTTTCCATCAGTTTGCTCTACTTCCTCCTCCTCCTTCTCCTTTTTTATTTTTTCTCTTTTTTGTATTTAACTAAAAACTTTTCTCAAAGATAAATATCTGTTGTTAAACAATGTATATCTTTAGTAAGTTGGTATAGAAGTCACACTAATGCTTTCTTTTTCCTTGACTTGAAAATAAATATATCATAAAACACTACTTACTAAATGATAAAATTTTTCAGTTAAACTTTAATTAAACAATTAGTAATTAATATTCCATTACATGTAATTAGAATGAGAAAAAAATATAGTCAATTATTTTTTTTTAATAAATTGTTGCTAAAAATAACAGTAATTATTGAAGTAAAATTGGCTGAGAATTCTTATATTGGAATTTTTCCAGACATAAATAGGAAAAAAAAGGACAAAATAAAATTTTAGTATTTTTCGGATAAAATAAAAAAAAAATTTTGTATTTCCGCTCCGCCTGAAAACGAACATTTCCCCTGCTTTGACTTCAACATAATATAAACTCTTAACGTCAATATAAAATTCTCTCAAACTGCAATACAAGCATGATACGAGACACGACGAGTATTCTTATGAACAATATTTCTATATGATTCACCCGGTGTTTGTCTGCGCTTTCAACGTCAACTACACCACAAAACATTCAGATACATATGTAATTTAAAATGAAGTAGAAAACTCACATTTACTGTAATGCTCTAGGGAAATTTCTGTTGCTTTTTTGATATAAAATATAATCAACATGTACACATTCGTGGTATTTATTTCATTCATTTAGACTTTATTCATATTTATGTTAATTAACAGTTTAAAAAACAAATCTTCAAATCCAATTGCCATTCTAGCCTAATTATTGCTCATTAATAATTAATAATTAAAAATCTATAATTAATTGTATATTAAAAAATAAATTATTAAAATAATTTTTGAATAATTAGACATACCTTTTAATTGACGTCAATTCCAAATATATTACGTACTTTTAACAAATAAAACAAATGATTGTGATGAATTAATTACTCTTTACTATCACTACACTTAGTTATCACTTTATACTAAGTACATTTGCGTGACATTAACGGTTGACATCACGATGTAATATGAATCGGAAAAACATTCATGTATAATTCGAAAGAGAGAGAAAGAGATAAAGCACAAAAAAAACGCAAATATGATGAGGGGCAAGGAGGATTTTCAACAGTATAATATGCAAGAATGTCGATTCACTGATAATTCAACCCTTTATTTATTATATGCTCTGATAAATTTTTTTCACTCTAATTATTTATAATCATGAACTATAAGTATGTACGTAAATACTTTAATTGCAATAATTGCTTATTCATATCAGTAAGTCTTGAGTTAATAAACAAATTGATTGCTTAAATATTTCACTTATAGTCTACTTTTCATATAGCTGATATGCACAAGAAAATGACTGATCACGTGAATGATTCACAGGTGGCCACCAAATTATCAATGAATAATAATATTCATTAATTAATAAGTACACTGGTTATTGTTATTTTATAAACAATTATTTAGATGTTTGTGAAAAAATGATGTAATTCAATTATTTCCAACCCTTCCACATGGCTATACATAACCTCCAACAGTCATGAAATAAAATAGCTAACAATATAACTACTTATGTGTTATTATTATTATTCACTTAATTCTTTAATGAATTATTTATTCGATTTGACGATAATTGACATTTAAATTGTATTTAAATTTATTTAAATAGTAGAAAAAAATTTTCAGTCGATTGCGATCACTATGAAGGGTAGTTTGGCGTCTCTTTCGCGTCGCGCTCGACCAGTAACTGAGCGACTTGCGTCGATTCACTCGCGGGGAAGCCCCGACGACGACGCTCAACGTTGGTATGTAGAAGCCAGACAAGGAAACATTGAGAAAACTTACATAAAGGGCATGAACGCAAGACAAAGAAGATAGATTAATGTAGAGGGTGCTATCAGAGGGTGGTATAGGTACTCGCGAGGGTGCAAGTAGGATATGACGATATTTTCTCAGTCACTTGGGCCACGCATGCGCTTAAAAACTTGCAAACACGTCCCGGCAACCGGTGGCAATGGTGCTATTTATTTTTAGGTAGGTTGCACACTAGACAACTTATTAATCGCTTCTAACCATTTTCTAATCAATTTTTTCCATGAAAAAACAAAATAAAAATATTTTTCTACTTGTTAATGAATTTTTTTTTGTTTTTTTTTGTTACAATTATGATTGATCGCCTGATTTTTGTTGCAATTAACACTAGAGACTACTTGTTAATCACCTGACCAACAGAATAGTTGTCATTACAAGTTTTTCACTAAAAAATCATTCATATTTATTTTCAATGATCTATTTTTATGAGAATATTTTTATTTGCATTATTGTTCGCTATACAAAATTATTTCCATAGAAAATATAATTAATATTGTAGTAAAAACTATTCTGTAATTATGAGGTGAATTTAACAATGGAAAATAACAGTCCGTTGTACCAGATGAATTAAAATAATATAAAAGGAATATGATCATGATTGTAAAAAAATCTTATTGACTGAACTAAATAATAAATCTCTTCGAATTCTATTGTAATTCATTAGTAAAATTGAAAATTTTTAAATATCCCCATTTTAAGTATTTTTCTGCATTAATTATGAATTTTCAAGCAAGTTTTTTTACCTCAATAATTGATTATTTATTTATTTTTGAAATAAAAATTAAGTTGATCATTTTTCGATTGTTCATTCATTGATTGATGAGAGTTCAATACACTTTAAAAAAAAGCAATTATAAGTTAAATAAAAATTTTACAGCTGTGACATTGACTACTGACGTAATCGATATCACTATGTTACATGATTATACTGCAAATGTGAATAGTGATGAGACTCATTCATATAGTGGAGAGGAGACAGATGTAATGGGATTCAAAGGCATATGGAGCTGTCATCTAATGACTGGCAGAGAATGCCAAGAGCATAGAAATCGTTACTATGCATTTTTCTTTGTGTAAAATTGATTATATTACAACAGGGCTAACCCATGATTTTATTTTTATTACTGATTTATGATAATTTTGTGGATTTTATTTCATGATGACTAGAATAATAATTGTAACTGAATAAATACAATTAATACTTGTAAATTGAATTATCTAAAAATTAATCTATTTTTTTTTCAAGAAGTTTTGATATAATTTACTAGTTTGTGATATTACTGAATAGTCAAAAGAATGTAAAATATGGCTATAAAATATGAAATATGGAATTTTAATAATTTAGCTTATTTTCCATTTTGACATTTTGATCAATCCTCCTTGTTTATGTTCTTTTAAATCATTTTTATTTTAAAAATGTATGTAAATAAAAATCCCTAGCAATATGCTGTGATTTTATATTTTATATTCTTGAAGCTTTTAATAATTGAGTTTGCATGAATCTTCTATTGCCGTTGAGAAAAACTGCGGAATTAAAGTCATGCAAATAGTCAAAGTGAGTAATGAATATTTCAATGTAGAGGGTTGTTTTCATACATGTCGAGATTTTCTAAAGTTAAAAAATAAATATGAAATAATTTTTTCGAGGAGTTTAAATTTAATACCAGCAGAGAGAGAGAGAGAGAGAAACGTTGGAAAGACATTTTAAATGTATTTAATAATTACATAATATTATGAAGCAAACAACATAATAAAATGTAGCTAACAGCTATTATTTGATGACATCTTCAAAATTCTTTATATAAATTTTCTTTAAGAAAAAAAAATTCTTAGAATCAATTAATCCCACTTCAACCCAATTTTTTTTCTAAGTACTTTAAAGCTATCCAACAAAATTTAAAAGATAAAGTTGTATTTGAGGTATTTAAAAACTTCTCCCTCTAACAGAAGTTTATTTTTAAATACCATTACTTTGTGAGCACATTTGGCGCATGCATTAATACAAGATAAACTAAATGAAACTTACAAAATGAAAGGCCTGGCCATTATAATAATGTATTGACGCACAACAAACTAAAATAAAGGTATCAGTATTCAAATACTTCTAGGCATTAGAAAAAAACAAAGTTCCGGATTTTTTATCTGATCCCACAGTAGCTGGAGGCCTTCTAGAAATTTCCATTCAAGCAAGCTTTGAACGAAAACGCATCGTTAAAGTTGTAGCTCCGGAAAGCTTGCAACACCGGTCATTGTCTGGCCATTAGCGTGTTTCCTTGCATCCAACCCTCTTTTAGTCATACTCTTTCCTCATTCCCCAAGTTTTTTTGCTCATTTCCACCAGTGTACGCGAGGAGATAATGATTCCAGGAATATCCGCGTATCATCGAGATAAGGGTCGCTCAATCGGTAGATGTATCTTTTCCCTCTTTCAAAAACTATCTCTCATCCCTCGTCCCACCTGTATACAATTTTCTTTAATTGCAAGAGAATTTTTTTTCACTTTTCATACTCATTCATTTTCATTCGATAAAAATCATAATTGCTCCATTTTGTCAAGCTTTTATTTACTTCAATAGTATTGGATTTGATTGATCATAATAATTGCATTGAAAATAATTTCTCTTGATAGTAATTGAAGTTTTTCGTATTGAGAGAAATAAATGATCAATAATTAATAATTATTATGAAAAATCAAACAGTTAGAAAAGAATCAATTTTTTGTCTGCTGTGTATTTTAATAGTAGAAGATATTTTAACACCAACATTCCCAAAAATTTGTGCACGTCACGTCATGTTAAGTAGAATAATTATCTTCGATCGTTATATTATTATCTACACGCTCGACATGACGTTAAATTATTGGAAATTTAAACTATTAAAATCCTTGAATTTATTTAGCAAAATAGATTGAAACATAGACTGATTTATTCTGATGCGTTTTTAGATTTTCAAGAGAGATATTTACATGATAAAATGATATTTATTATTTTTTATCTACACTTAAATGGAAGATATTTGCATGTTTTACTAATAGGAAAATTTACTTAATAAAACATCACATATACTCGAGAGGTTTACGATCATTTTAAAAATTATATTATTTAATTTGGTTTATTTTAAAAATTTTTTGGTATTTTCTTTTGATATTTTAATTTTATTATTAGTTATTATATAAAATTTATCATATTGGTTACCATTATTTTGATTGAGAACATTAAAAAAAAAATTGTAATAGACACTAAAATTTATGGTACAGTCAAATGAATTTTGTTGCAATTTCGATATGACCTCCATTTACGACGTCAACATACTAAATTTCACTTAAAATTTCATTCAGTGTATAAACCCTGGATATATTGGTTTCAAATTGCACAGAATTTTGTAAATTAATGTTGGATCAAATCAAATGGATATTTCCTTTAATTTAAATTTCGGAAGAAATTAAATTTAAAATTACTACAAAAATTTTCGTGTCAATAAATAATTCAAAATAAGTGAAAAAACTATTATTTCTTCTCTGATGAGTATAAATATGTATACTATTTGTAATGATAAAAATTTTATATACACGACTTATTTAAGATTATTCTTGACTCATAAATAAGCTTATTTTTCATATCTCCGTATTATGTTTGAAAAATGACTATCACAATTGTCATAATGTGTGGTAATTATAAATTATAGCAAATTCATGCGGTGAGTAAAAGAATACTACAAAAGCAGTGCATATTATCCTAGGTTAGTACAGATGTATCCATTTTTTATTGTTAACTTCTTTTTTTTTGTATACTCTTGTCAAGAAATATTTTTCAATGCCACCTCCATCATATTTTCCGAGAATTTACATTTTATACACTATATTTTCATTTTTTTATATTTTTTTAATTTAAAATTCAGACCACGCGGTATTGTTCTCACGTTCAATATCTCTTCTAGCTTTTCTTTTACCTATTCTACATCCCCTTACTCTCCCACTATATCCAAACTCTTTCTTTAGTGTTTCAGTATTACTAGTAAATATTAAAAGAAACGATTATTAATCTCGAGATTATTTTCCTCCAAGAAAATTCATGTCAACAAAATCCGAGTGAGATTGCGGCCATTGTCAATGACTATTACATAAAGAGAAGGGATGATGAATACCGACAGCCTTTCGAGGGTGGTATACGCAGTCATTGGTCTACAGATAAGCCGTTTAGCCGTACAGCATCTATACTCTTGCAATGTACGAGTGTTATTACGCGGAAGTCTGATAACGTTGAGCTCGTTGTCCCGGACAAACTATATCGTAGTTGCAGAAAATGTTTTTGCTAGTACCAACTGTCATGTAAAAAGAGATTTCAACAGTTCATTTTATTTTAACTAAAAAAAAATATTCTCAATCAAACTTTTCCTTATTTTTTTATACACTTGGTATAAAAAGAATCAATTAATATAAAATATAAATAAATTTTAATTGAATTTTTTCAGCTCAAATGTCATTAGCATTCAAAAATGTTAAATTAATTATTAAAACAATTGTAACAATCTTTTGTAAAAATTTTACAGTGTAGTTATTTAATTTTAACCCAAATGAATACCTCTACTAACTATAGCCACAAAAATGACAAAAAAAAACTTAAACTTGTGAAAATCACATCCGAAGAGGATTTGCACAGCAACGGAAAAAAAGTATAAAACTGTAAATATTAGACAGTATAATACTTTTATTTCTAGTGTTAGTAACACATCAGAAAAGTGGGAAAAAGCTCAGGGAAGACGTGTACGTTGGGATTGCAACAGGTGCAGAGAAAATCAAGACTCGTGAGATCCTCTAGAGTCGTTAAAAAGAGAAGAGGAAAAGAGGAGCGAAGCCAG